GCGATAGCAGAAGTGGTCTTGCGTCGCACCACGGTTCCTAGAGAAGCTTTTCCTCGCACGATGGCATATGGAACGTTGAACTTGCGGCACAGGGCAGGGAGGAAGATGACGATTTCAATTGGGTCTACATCGTGTGCAATGACAACGAGCTGTGCCTAAACCATTACTGATTGGGTGTATATAATAATGCTGAGTAATATGTACGTGATTATAAGAGAGAGATGAGAAGAACTGACCTTGCGAGTTTCGACGAGACGTGTGACAGCGTTGACACCATAACGAACAGTTGGAGGGCGCTTCGTAATCTCCTCAGTCTTGCCAGCGGCGCGAGCTTCAGCGCGAGCGCGTAGACGCTCCTTCTTCTGCTCTTTTGACTCTGGGCGGTACTTATTCAGAAGGTTGAAGAGCTGAGATGCTATAATAAACATGATGATGGGCAGCTTTCCAATTCCGATTCACTTACAGGTTTGCTTATCAAGAGCACTTCTAAATTGATTGATTGGTGGAGGAATCTTCAGTCGTTTCTGGAGCACAGCCTTTTGACGCTGCAGGCGAATGTACTTAGGCCATCTCACGAAGCGCGTCACATCCCTCTTGGGCTGTATATCGCAGCCTGGAATGTTAGCACAATTTACCTTCTTAGTAACCATCTATAGTTCGAATGATATATGGAGCACAGGATTTAGAAAGGGAAAAAATTGAGCAAAACTGTGTGCAAAAGAAGTGCAAACTCGTAACTCCCAGAGATGTCCCAGAGAACAAATTTTCCCTCAGGTTCCTTCAGGCTGATCAGGACCATTCCACGATATAATCTATTATCCCAAAAGAAAGGAAAAACTAGCAAACAAACCCAATCAATTGGTCATTCCCAATTTAGTCCTTCGTAAGAACAGAATTATCTTTAGAGCTACGCAGATTTGACCGGTCATAACGAATAAAAATGCGACGAAGAACAATATAATTAAACGCTAATCTTTTCTGGACCCTTTGAACAAACTTCCCATACGATTAAAGAGAAGAAAATATACAATAAATTTCCACGAAGTTAAAATATCATGTAAATACTCATAGGAATAGGTCTCAAGTATTTTAGTTTCGCAACAAGGTCATTCCTGGGAGATACGTTGTAGCTACAACTCTGCCTCCACATGCATAACTGAACATCCATTCTGTGCCTGAGGTACGCCGCCATTACCAGCGACAGGGCAAGAAGCTGTAAAGACTTGCCGCCTATCCCTTTGGGATAGCCTAAGGAACTTCGGACCTCCTCGCCTCTAACTGCCAAATATTACCATGCACATTGCCCCACCTACGGATCCCAATATTCTTATTGCGTTTGTGATGGTTAGTTGAGGGGAAACAATTTCAGATATGATTCAAATTGAGATATAATACTACACTGTGGAGAAAAGCGACTGAAAGTGTCGAATAGCCATATGATTCCAAATCAAAAATGGTTATCCTATGTAACACATCATTACATCGTATAGAACATTTTTGTCATTCAATACATTGAAAGATCCGTGTATTTTTGGCTTTCTTTGGGATGGGAAAGGGGGAGGGGAGGCTGCACCGGTGCAGGCAACAGTTACTGGCGCGAGGAGACTGAAGTTCTTCAGGGTATCCAGGAAAGGCGGCAGGCCTTTACAGCCTCTTGCACGTCCTCCCGATTGAAATTCCCCCTCAACCAGTGAAAAGTCTATGTGTCGATAACTAGGTAAATTAAATAAATTTATTGAAGTTCGACCTAACCTCTTAACAGCAAGAAAATCACTAGCTGCTTCATGTGCTTTCAGCACGATAAACTTATGAAGCAAATGGCAGCTATATGACATTATAAAATATGATTTCAGTGCTTTCTTTCTGGGATAAATATTGACTACGCATAGCAAATGAGAATTTAATTTTAGTTGATTATGTATACGACACATTGGGAAAATTGATTCTTGCTTGTATGCCCTTTTTTCGATTAGCGCATCATATGTCCAAATGCATACAACTTGCTCAAAGCGCTCTTAAATAGAAAGCTTAGATGACACCATTAACAGCGATTTTATATTTAAATAGTGGTTGCCTCACCTTTACAATTATGTTGAAGCATAGTCAAGTAGAAAGTAATCAATTAAAATAATCTGGTAGCGCGTAGTTATGAGGACGCCGTAAGAATCTGCGTCAGAAAACTATGATTATTAATTTTTGAGAAAAAAAATTAGTTAAGCTATAGAAGAATGAGCTGAATATGATGGAAGATTTACCTCATACTTATATGAAAGTGCCCTGGGATGATAAGAAGTTCCCCAACATCTATCAAAAACATTACGCTGGTACAAATCAAAAACCACAAAAAGCCAAAATAGAATATAGTAAAGGTTGACAGGTTTTCGAAATGCAAAGGAACGAAAACTGACCAATGTTGAAGTTTCTGGGTCTCTTTTCAAACAGAGGGTTTTTCACTTCCTTCTGAGGAGCAGCAGCGCGAAGCTGAGCAGGCGGAGCAGCAACCTTCTTCTTGATAACCTTCTTCGAAGGCTAAAGCACACAAATTACTTAGAGAGAGCGGATAACTTCACTAACATATTCCCTGTGCATTGTATAGGCTCCTACAGACTGGGACTTTTTGAAATTTTTGTTAAAAGCAGCTAAGCAACGCGAGGGAAATCGTATTTGCGCTCAAAAGTAAACAGCAATAAAGTCTGCTTCTGAGGCCTAACAAACGTATTTAATTCTACTTCAAGAAAAATTAAAAAAGGACTTACGCACCATGGTTGAGCGACTTTAGGCCCAAAAATGAAATGCTGGAGAAAGTAGGCAACGACAAAAACTCTCGCCGTCTGCATTCTCGCCGACAGAGTTACAAATGCGGGAAGTTTGAAAGGCTTCAGAAATTTTTGCGAATTCAATTATATTTTGGAATTTCTCGCATCATAACTGGACTCCAGTTCGATTTCCTTATTTCTTTCCATCTGCTATATGGAAGAGGTAACTTTTTTCAAATGTTTCTACCTCTTTTTTTCCTTGTCTGTGCCTTCTTATTGTACTTGAATTTCTTATTTTCTGGCAGTCCGTTATTTTTCAATTCTACAGCTAGTTTGTGGAAAAAAAAACAGAGTAACAGAAAAGTCAAAAGAACCCATGTAGCCATGGCTTCTTGAATTCCAGCTTCAAAAAATTCTTGAATGCTGTTTCATTGGTCGAAGTGATCAAAACATTTCTTACACAAAGGTATATGTGATTGCTATTGATATTGAGTTCTTGCTTTTATGCAACCTACAATCTATTTTGTGTTTACGATTCTTTCAAACTTCAAAATTTCGTATACTGCGAATGTACGCCCTTGCACTAAACTTAGTTATGTAATTTAAGATCCAAGAGCAGATTTAAAATTATCTTTGATCGTATGCACTCCAAAAATGTCTTCGACTGAATCGACGGTCATCGCTTGCCCCGTTTTGGAAAATCTGATCGAAAATGGCGACGCTTTAGGTGAGTTATACACGATATCAATCCAACGTTTACTTCAGGTTTTATCCATACTTTATTTTATGGTATGATGACTTTTCTTTTGGCATTTGATCTACCGCGATGGGATCAGCTGTAGCCGACAATGCCGGCTTCCAATAGCATTGGCGGGAGTTAGCGAACCGACGTCTTTAGTAGTCTCCTTAAATATACTACTTATGGCGTCTAGCAGCACTTGCTCATTATTATGGGGTTCAAATAAGTATGCCTGGAACTCTCATCCTTAACCATGCACCTCCATGGTGCACTTGTTCGATTGGACTGCTGAAAAACTAACGTTGCCTGCAGAAGAAAATCCAGCTAAACTCGAGAAGAAAGCGCGGCTTAGTTGGAAGCTGTGCTGAATTTCAGTTGCTTTTGGACTTTGCCGCATGGTAGTCGTGCCGTATGCTCGATTAGCCGATCCCTATTGCTTCTATAAGCGTTATAAGAATTGACTGGTATAAGGGCACTGCATATCCTTACAAGATATGCAGGTGCCCTTATACCGCGAGGAAGACCCGGGAGATCCTCCAAATGATTGCCGCTTTGCTTGTGCTTAACTCGTCACTAATTTCTTACTCAAGTAAACTCTGATAAATGGTGTTGTTGGTATGGCACTTGACTACTGCATTTCAAATAGAGAATCAAGAAAAAAAGTGAGAATGGTCAGGTTCTCCAATATTGATACGTTGGATTTTTCTTAGGAATTTTCTCCCGTGATCTCTAATTCAATCACTCTACGAAGAAGTTGAAATTTTACTTTTTACAAAAGTCAATCAAATGCTTTCTAGACAAAGACTTAAAACAACCTATCTCAAGTTTACAATTTAGCATTTCAAAATGTCACACTTAAACAGTTTTATTTGCATGAAGTAACACTGGCTGTGCTTCCTTTGTTGGTGCTCCGGCAGCGAGGCAATCTGGTAGCGCGAGGAGGCTTGGATACCTCACAGGCAAAGGTCGCAACTTTTTGAAAGATTTGCTACACCAATTCCAAATCGTTTTAATGATTGAAGTTGCTTCAAGCAAGCTCCTAGGATGTAGACATTACTTTAAATGTTAGCAACGGGTCAAACTTACATATGTTAGAACATCAGCTTCCTCCGCTTCAAATGACTTGTTTAGTGCATTAAGGGATGCAACAGTTTTGGTACTGGTAAATAATTCCACAATTTTTTCATGTGTTAGTTCAAATCGCGGCTTTTCCTGAAAGATTCCTCAAATTCCTCGATAGTGCCACTGTATAGAATTTTAAGTCAAACTCGCACCCGAAATGCATCCATTTTGACAACTCATCACGCCAAATGAAATGAGGGGATAGAGGGTGGGCATCACTTGCTAGAGGCAGAAGGTGACAAATGTCGAAAAACACTTGCAAGTACGAAAACACTTTTGTAAAGAAACCCAAGTACTTGACACTTCCCTTTCCTCTTCATCGTTTCTTTGGCCATAAGAAAAGGCTCTCACACTCTCAAAAAAGTGCCGCAAAATTGGCTGA